GCTTGACAGGCTGACAAAGAAAGATTTCCAGGGATGCTTCCAGGCTTGGCAGCGGCGCTGGGATCGTTGTGTTCACTCCCAGGGGAACTACTTCGAGGGTGATGGATGAATTTAATACCTGAGATAAGTGTACGGGTTTTTATACGCGCAGTCTGGAAACCATCCGATCGCACCTCGTATGTCCACCACCTTCTTGAAGACAGGTGACCTCTTATTTTAGTGGACCTTCTTATGACTTACTACGCAGCCTACAATATTTTTTTATGTCGAGAATAAACGTAGTAAGAAGTGCATAAATGTCTTCCTTTCATCATTAATTGCTTTCCTTAATATTAATGTTAAAATAGACATAAAGGGGATATTTGGAAAAAAACTACACCCTTCAGTTACAAACAGGCATGCTTTATGTGACTTCAATTTCCGTCACAAGAAAAATACAATCTTCGAGGTAATTACTGTCATTAAATTTGTACCTTGCACGAAATGAACCAGTGTTCTCGACGTCGAAAACTGCAGCAGGGAAGAGTGTCCAGCCACTCTTATATTTCAGCGACGTAAAGGCGTTTGGTTTGCTCCCGAGGCACCGAGTCTGTTACTTGAAGCCGCGAGAAATAACGGGAGACGAGGAACGACTTCATTTTATCAGTTCGACTCTTCTGTTACGGTCTGCGCTGACAACCGGAAATGATCGACAGCAGGCCGGATGTGACGACATCAAGAACCTAAACTCTCCACTTAAATTGATTGCTGGAGTGGGCAGTACAGTCGGGTGAACGTAATAATAATCACCGAATTGTCCTGACGACTGTACTCTGCTACGTCCACGACGACGTACTCTGATCGTTCAAACGGGAGGAGCATTCTATCGCCCGTTATTTATCACGAACGTTAGAGACAAATACAACGTCGAAAGTTTTATAATACGCCGTACCACGAGAATTCTAATACACCCGTTGATAGAAAAAATCACGAATCCTACGTCATAAAATGATGGCTACAATTCAATACAATTCGATTGGATCAATAACCACACAATAACACAAGGACCACGCAGGTCACGTCATGTTACCTGCCCGCGCCGTCCGCCGCCAGTCGTCTTTAAACTGTACGTCTTTTGCACATGTGCAGCGAGTGTTCACTGTTAAACACTACGTGGCATCTCGTTCTTGCTTGACTCGCCGGAATGAATTGATCGATACACTTCCCCAATATCTCGTCTGGTGAATCGTTTCTTCTTCACGAAAGTTAACATTGTTTTTTATTTTCTGATTTCTCTGTAATATACATTTTGATGAATAAAACCTGTGAGGGGAAGGTTGTCTCACTTTTGGATCATCCTGTACTGGGGTAATGGTTCACGGCGAGAATCGATACATGTGACATCAATGTTGTCCTCTTGTTAAGAAAAAATCTCATTGCAGATCAACTCACCACTCTTTATACGATGCTCGTGTCTAAAAATTGCAGTGAATTTTAATGTGGTCCATGCTTCGACAAGCGATGGTCAGTGCTTCCCTGAGTCTGCAAATGGTGAAAGCCCCTGTTATGAAGAGGAGGAGGAAGACGAGGAAGAGGAGGAAGGAGGAGGAAGAGGAGTAAGGGGAGGAGAAGGAGGAGGAAGAGGAGGAGGAAGGGGAGGAAGAGGAGGAGGAAGAGGAGGAAGAGGAGGAGGAAGGAGGAGGAAGAAGAGGAGGAAGGAGGAGGAAGACGAGGAAGGAGGAGGAAGAGGAGGAAGAGGAGGAAGAGGAGGAGGAGAAAGAGGAGGAGGAGGAAGAGGAGGAGGAAGAGGAAGAGGAGGAAGAGGAGGGAGAGGAGGAAGAGAAGGAAGAGGAGGAGGAAGAGGAGGGAGAGGAGGAAGAGGAGGAAGAGGAGGAGGAAGGGGGAGGAAGAGGAGGAGGAAGAGGAGGAGGAAGGAGGAGGAAGAAGAGGAGGAAGATGAGGAAGGGGGGAGGAAGAGGGGGAGGAAGAGGGGGAGGAAGGGGGAGGAAGAGGAGGAAGAGGAGGATTCTTTACGAATTGCGAATTGCCTCACACATTTAAATACTGACATCTTTTCCATTCCACAGCAAGACTGGATAGGTGCTCCATTTGGTACACATTAAATAAAATAAATAAATCCGTGGCGTAACAGATCCAGAGAGCCAAAGATTACGAATGTGTTCTTCACGCAAGACCACGATATCAGGTCACTGTTGCCCCATAGGTTATTCTCGCACAAATGCGGTCCCAGGTCATTGTTGGGTAGCGATGTTTTCCAACAATAACCTTGCGTCGTGTTTGAACTGATCTGATCCTGGTATAACTGTTGCTCAAGAATGTATGCCTGTGATGGACACAATTATTGAGCAACAATGGTTTCTAATGGCGAGACAATGCATTGAAACGTATGGACTACAAATTGGGAGGATTACCTCGGCCTATCGGATCGAAGAGAAAAACAGGCGTCTCCATCCTTTATTCTGACGAAGGACGATTCAACCTCACTTTTTAAAGTTTAAAGATTTTAAGGCTTAAACAACTGGCGATGGATAATGTTCCAAAACACAGAAAACAGAAGTTCACCAGGATATTTTTCTAGCATGTGAAATCGCTAGAGTAAATGGAATTCGACTGTGTTGGCTGACTGCTACTCTCAGCAAGTTGCAGAAGCAGCTCCAGATATATAGAAGACTTATTTTGATTTTTCACTGGTTATTTCCTGAGGTCCCAACGAACTGGCCTTTCTTAAGGCCCACGTTCTCGAGCTGGCCTTGGCCGTCCTAACAAC